GCATGGGCGGCAGATACAGTCTGCAGCTGAGGATGAGGTCAATGATTCCATCGTGTTGACGTCGGCCGAGGTGAGCGCGACGAGCTGGGAATCGTTGGCAAAACGCTCGCTCGGCAGCGGCAAGACCGTCGGCGGAAAGGCCGGCGGGAGAGCGAGTGAGACGAGACGGATCGTGTTGAGCGGAGCAAAGGCGACAATGTTGGGCGCGATGGCGGCAACAAGGGCGTTAAATCCGAAAGAGTCGGGGACGGTGTCGAGGACTCGCAGCTTGGGCGTTGTCGGCATCGGCCCGTCGAGCGTGATGGCGTTGAGCGAGACAGACTGGTCGAGGGTGGTGAAGGTGGATATCATAGTGAGCGGAAAGTTTCCCCCGTCCGGCGACGGCATGCGCAGAAGCGAAGGCCGGGTGGCGCGATTGCAACTGATAGGATACGGCGGGGTATCAAGAGTGAGCCTCGCAGGCGCAGCAAAGGAGAGCGGATCGTCGGTGCCCGCCAACCACCACAAGGAGCAGCCCAACTCGTTCGTGTCTTGGCCCGACACTGCCACAACGAGATCGATCCATGGATCCGCATTGAGATGAGCAGTGAGAAACGGGCCAACGGTGTCTGCTTTGGGCAAGAGTTCAGGACCTGCTAGTACTGCTGGTGGAGAGGAGGCATTGACGAACGAGTGTGCCGAGAAAACCGGCGTTGGTTGCCAGCCACAATACGCATAAAATTTTGACGGATCGCCCGCGAGGCACAAAGGTGATAAGGAACCGCCGCCGTTGGAGACCAGCGGAAGCGAAAAGCGGGGAAAAGGCATAGCCGGAGCCGCGGCGGTTGAGCAAGGGAGATAGAGCTCGACCGGTTCGTCACAGAGGCCACATGAGAGGACAAGGGCAATAGTAAGGATGACTAGATGAGGTTGGGTGACTTTCTTGCTCCTGTTCATGTTGGTGGGGATGGCGCTGTGCGTTGGTGGGGGAGGTGGAGTGGTCACCGCGTGGTTGCCACGGTTGGCAGCTCGCAATTGCAGCTCTGCCGGGCACGTGCTCAGCACAGCACAACATGATGAAGCCAAGGAGGGGACATCGCATCCAGCGGACGTGTGATGATGGTGATGTTGACGTTGATGGTGACGATGAGGGCTGTACCAGTCAGTGCTCTGCGCGTTGCAGTTGGCAGACGGTAGTCCGAGCTGGATCGAGGCTGATGGTTGTCACCACTGCGTTACTTCTGGCGAGTCTTGAGCTTGCGAGGACCGCGCTTGCGCTTGTTGCGTTTGCGGGACTTTTGGATGGGTCGAGAAGTCGTTGATGTCGATGCGCCCGGTGGTGATGAGGCGCCCGGGGGGGCGTCGAGGTTTGGCTTGTTGGCGTCGTAGAGAGCAAGGACGGCATGGATGGCGGCTGCTTGGACATCGGTGATAAACAAAGAGGCTAGGAGGCGAGTAAAGACGGTACGCGGGATGGCGGCACGGGAGAGAACGGCGGCAAGGTGCGGGGGGGTGTCCACGATCGACGCAATCGGCAAAGGACATGGCGACGGTCATGGAGAAGAAGAAGAAGTTGGTGTGCTCGGCAAGCGAGGCGTTGCGGGCAGCAAAGTCGGCAATCGCATTGAGCATACAATATCCGTCTGTGCGAACGAGTATCGAGAACATATCCCGCCCAGCCCGCATGACAGCGGTGGTATTGAAGTCAGGCAAGTTGGAGACGCGCTCAAAGGTGGCGACCGAGCCAGATCGGATAGCGGCTGCGACGAGCGTCCCGTGCGAGTAACACCTGTTCGGGTGCCAAGCATCCATACGTTGAATCAAAAAGTCAACGCATTCGATGTAGCCGAGGGCCCGCTCCTGGAATAGGGATGCCGTGACAGAGGGGGCTCCTCAGCGATGTCGCCAAGCGCTCGATGGTGCGCAGATGGC